CGTTTATCTCGTATCCTTTCCAAATCAATACAGTCAAAGATGGTCCCCTGGACAACAAGTACAACTCATCACAAACAGTGTTGTCACCTCTGATACGTGCTTCCAACCAACTGCTAAAAGTCCTGATGTGTTCACATGTAATCCAGTCATCGCACTGCTCCGGGTGTTTGGAGCGCAGACTGTTCTTGTGTTCATCAACATACGGGGTCACCAAGGTAGAGCTCTGTAGAACTGTGTAGTGTGCTTGAGACCAAGAATATCCGTCCCTGCATATTATTGAGTCCCTTCCAAGCGTGCCTTTTCCAATCAGTCTCCCCTCATACCGCGATTTAGGGAGACCTATCTTCTTAAGGCCAGGAATGAAGTCAACACAAAACCCGATGACATCCTCTGTTTGATGGCCCATGGAGATGCTTCCTTCTGTCCTAGCGTGGTTACTGACATATTTCTTTAGGACTCCCATGAACCTCTCAAAGGGGTACATATTGTGTAGAAATACGGGGCCCTGAATGACAATCTCGTCAACTAGATGAACTAGGACGTGCGTCATGATATTGAAGAAGGATGGTGGGAACACCAGCTCGAAACTGACAAGACATTGCACCACATCACTCCTCAGCCTTGGTATGATTTCTGGATCGATCACCTTCTGAGAGATTGCATTGAGGAATGCACATAGCTTCACAATGGCTAATCGGACGTTTTCCGGTAGAAGCCCCCTCAATGCAACCGGAAGCAGTTGCGTCATAATCACGTGGCAGTCATGAGACTTTAGGTTCTGAAACTTTTTGTCTGCCATATTTATTATTCCTTTTATATTAGACGAGAAGCCAGTCGGGACCTTCATACTAAGCAGGCATTCAAAGAAGATTTCCTTCTCTTCTTTGGTAAGAGCATAGCTGGCAGGACCTTCATGCTGCTTTGGAGGCATGCCGTCTTTTTCGTGCAAACATTGTAGGTCCTCCCGTGCCTCAGCTGTATCTTTTGTCTTCCCATACACGCCCAAGAAGCCTAGCAGATTCACGCAAAGGTTCTTCGTACGCACGTCGATCGAAGAGCGGACCTCTAGGTCTTTCCAGTAGGGTAGGTCCCAAAATATAGATTTCTTCTTCCACATGGGTGCGTGTCCCCCAGCGTCACTCGGAACAGCTAGTGCGCCAGGACCCTTTCCAAAGATTACGTGTAAATCATTGACCATAGCAAGTACGTGATCACCGGTACGCATGGCGGGCTTCTTCCGGTGATCTGCCTTGCCTTTGAAATGCTTGCCTTTATTTCGACATTGATGGTTGGTCGGAAGAAATCGACGATGGCCCATGTACACATTCTTCCTGCAGCTTGCCAGGTATATACTATTGGTGTCAAGTAAATAGTGCGTGCATGCATGGTATCCCTTGTTTGTCTGTCCTGAAAGGTTACTGAGAGCGGGCCAATCGTTGATGGTCACGAACAACAACGCCTTTAGGTTAAATTCCTCCTATTTGTGCTCATCCCACGTACGTACACCATTTCCATTCCACAGCTGTAAAAGTTCTTCAACTAATGGCCTTAGGTACACATCAATGTCGTTGCCGGGTTGCTTAGGGCCTTGGATGAGAACTGGCATCATAATGAACTTCCGCTTCATGCACATCCAAGGAGGAAGGCTATACATACATAGAGTCACGGGCCAGGTGCTGTGATTGCTGCTCTGCTCCCCGAAAGGATTAATGCCATCCGCGCTTAAAGCAAACCATACGTTCCTTGGCTCACTTGCAAACTCATCCCAGTACTTTCTCTCGATTTTTCTCCACTGCGACCCGTCAGCGGGTGCTCTCAACTTCCCGTCTTTCTTACGGTTCTCACTGTGCCATCGCATCAACTTGGCATGCTCTCCATTTATGAACAGACGTTCCAACCGTGGTATTATAGGAGCATACCACATCACCTTCGCACGAACCCTCTTCCTGGGGTGCTCGCTGTCAACATCACCAGGGGCATCTCGTCTGATCTTATACCGTAATGCACCGCATACCGGGCATGCGTTCAGATCCTTGTACGCACCGCGGAAGAGGATGCAGTCATTAGGGCATGCATGTATCTTCTGCACCTCCAATCCTAGAGGGCATACGACCTTCTTTGCTGCGTATGTACTGTCGGGCAATTCGTTATCCTTTGGAAGCTTCTTCTTCAATATTTTTAGTAGCTTCTCAAATCCTTTGTCAGGCACAGCATTCTCTGCCTTCCACTGCAGCAATTCTAGTACGGTACCGAGCTTTGTGTTGCCATCTTCGCAATTGGGGTACAACCCTTTTTTGTGGTCCTCTAACATGCGATCGAACTTCAGCTTCTCCTTTTGACTTTCGCATTGCGTCCTTGCATCGACAATGACCCGACAGAGATCATCATCATCAGGCACATCGTCTGGTTCCTCTTGATCTTCAGCAGCTTCGCCCGTTGCAGCATCATCGTGCATATCGTCTGGTTCCTCTTGATGTTCAATAGCATCACCGTATTCAGTGGGCACATAGTTGTCATCGTACTCTTCTTCTTCGCCGTCTACCATCATAACCCCTATTTCTCCGTGCCTCGTCCAAACAGTGGCATGAAACCCTTGTAAAGCAGGTGGGTGTGGAGGATTTTCTGGTCAGAGTAAGACTTCGTACTCCCACATATAGGGCATGGACAACACATAAAACCATTCTGCTTGTTTGCCTCAGCCACTTCGAGAAAATCATGCACACCCTTAATGTACTCGGAGGTGTGTCTTGAACCGTACATCCATTGCCGGTTCATCTGCGTGCATTATATATAATTAAGTGTGTCAAAAATCATTACAGAATATCATGAATAGATAATTAAGTGACCAAATTAATAGAAGTTCATCATCACATTAAAACCAAAGTACATACATAGTTCTCATCTAACAACATAAAGCTCTGTAGAGCATCTAAAATAATTAAACCATACACTGAAACTATGTAAAACATTTCAATGCGAAAAAAATGCGATCATAATCGCAACCAATGTAACAACTGATCCAACGGCATAATGATACCAAGCCTCGGTATGAATGGCATATTTTCTAATCTTTCTAATCTTCAAGCGCATTGCATCCATCTTGATCTTGTGATCATCGACGACATCTGCAACATGCAACTCCAATATCATCTTCTCCTCCTCAATTTTTCTAATTTTTTCCTTCAACAAATTGTTTTCTTCTTCAACTAAATTTAACCTCTCGACAATAGGGTCGGTTGGAATTTCCGGTTCAACAACCTCCTAGATAAATAAAATCTATGTCACTTTGGTCGGCATAATTGTCATAAACAATAAATGAACCAATAGTTATGAAAAGATAATATATACCACATCTGAATCATAGACAGGACGAGGGCCGACGGGGGCGGATACCAAAACCATCGCACTATATAAGATGCAATAATAAAAGTAAGAAAATTATACAAGTATCTAAATAAACATACAAGTAAGAGTTTTTTTTCCTTTCAGAAAGAAGATAAGAACAAGAGGCTCACCACGGTGGTGCCGGCGACGAGATCGGCGCGGGTGATCGACGGCGGTGAAGACGGGGACGGGACGTGACAGACCGCTAAACCTAGACAAATATTGAAAAAAATGGAGCTTGGAGGTGGAGCTTGGAGAGGAGAAAGCTTAAGTAGTGTGGCTCGGGCATTCCATCGAACACCTCGTGTGCATAGGAGGTGAGCTAGAGCACCACAAAGCTTTCTCCTCGCCGGCCACGAAAAACAGAGCAGTGAGAGTGCTCTGCTCGCGGGGTATATATAGGCAATTAATTGGTCCCGGTTCGTGGCTTGAACCGGGACTAAAGGGAAGCCTTTGGTCCCGGTTCAGGCCACCAACCGGGACAAATGGTGGTGGGTCAGGAGCAAGGCACATTGGTCCCGGTTCGTCCCACCAACCGGGACCAAAAGGTCCAGACGAACCGAGACCAATGGCCCACGTGGCCCGGCCGGCCCCCGGGGCTAACGAACCGGGTCCAATGCCCCCATTGGTCCCGGTTCTGAATTGAACCGGGACTAATGGGCTGACCCGGCCTGGACCATTGCCCCCTTTTCTACTAGTGCTGAGAAATAAAAAAAAGCTAAAATCTTGAATTGTATGAAGCATGGTTGTTTTCTTGAAGTTTCTGAAGGAATGTATACCATTGACTGAGAGGAATCATTCATTCCATTAGAATGGGAGTTCTTAGAGGGAATTCGGCAGAGTGTAAGTACACATAAGAGGTGTGTTTTTATTAACAGAGGAAGGCGAGAGCACGACACTTCTACAGGAAAAAGAAAGAAAATGGAATAAAAAGATGAAAAACTAAAGAGAAAAATGCTATGATCCCATGATAAGATGTCGGCCACCAGCGAGGGCCCACATGAGCAAACCTATAGTACGTAGATCCTAAGACACATAATATTTGATTAAGGGACATAATTGGATTAGAAGTTCAGATTAGAAATGTTTCTTAAAGTAGTGCATCATAGCCCGTAGCATCACACGGGGTACGCAGACCCGCACCACCCACTCCCCCACCCCACCCATCTATCAGATCTTGATTCCCTTCCCTAAAAAAAAATCTTGATTCCCAGCGTCCAGATCCAGCCGGCTCTCCCGTCCGTGCATTGAGAAGTCAAAGGAAGACTCCCAGCATGCTCCACCAGACACAGCTCGACCTTGTCCCCAAGAAGGCCGACTGACAGTCTTGTATAGTAGAGAGGGACGAAACCAAGAATAGTCTCTTCCTAGCTCCTGCGCGCATCGGCCATGGTTCAAGGCTTCAATCTAGATCTGTCGGAACTGAATGGTGATCATCGTGTTGCATCCATTATATAGGTAATATATATTCTACTGTGTTATTAGTCTATTTGCTGGTTCCGAGTTTCTTTCGTCTTCTTCGGAACAACAATTAGTTCTAATTTAATTTCTTTCCAATCCCTCTCCGACTATCCGACCACCTCCAGCTGGAGTGTCGATCGGATTGCGAGAGAGTTATGGGGGCGGTGGCCGCTTCCGAGCAGAGGGCGAAGAAAACGATGAAGGAAGCATTAGAGGAGATAGAGCCGCTCCCCTGGAGGATGTCCGAACTGCTGCAGTACCATAGCGGGCGGCGCCTCAGTGCTGCCGATGACCGAATATTACAGATTTTCCGGCTCGTTGTGGTCGAGCTGAGAGACATCGCAGCATCACTGGACCAGCTTCTGCCACTGCTGGATCTCAGACCGTACCATGTCGAGAACTATGAGCTGTGGCTGCTCAAGTTGAGGAATCTGGCTCGATATATCGGGAACCACCTCGATAAGTACGAGCGTTTCATCACAAGAAAAGAACAGGAAACGTATGTGCGAACTGCCTGCTTCCGTTGTGATTCAGAGTTCCGGTTACCGCATCCGGATGTAACGCGACTCATCGAGGAAGAGCTTTCCTGGATCAACGGACAACCTTACAGGTACGAGCATCTTATGTTGGCCGGAGATGACGATAGTATCCCCTTAAGTGGGATGCCGCAGCTGCAACCCTACGCGACGGAGGCCGGGACCGTTGCACGCGGGGACCTTCTTGTTGGCATCGAGAGCACCAGAAAGAAGCTGCTCAGGTGGTTCACGCCCGCCCAGGAAGACAACATGGCTCTCAGTATCGTGTCCATGGTTGGACCCGCTGGGGTGGGGAAAACGGCTCTTGCCAATGAGCTCTACCGACACCTCCAACAAATCGGAGGTGATGGACCCTACTTCGAGTGCTACGCTTTGGCCAATGTGTCCCCGAGGCCTTGCATCAAGGTGCTTCTGAGACACATTCTCTGCCAGATCGACAAACAAGCAGCTATAGCACCAGCGTCGATATCCACGGGGACATCCGAAATCACCATGTCAGAAGACGGCGAGGACCAGGATGAGCAGGAGCTGGTTCGCAACATTGATCAGTACCTTCAAGACCGCAGGTAACTTGATCAGTCACTTGCTACCTTAACTTCCATTTCTATCTCACACTATAATTCACCTATGCTCTAATTCAATAAAAGGTAATTTGATATTGCGATTATAAATTTTGACAGAGGGGGTTCACATCTCTCTCCTTTTTTTTCTGTTAGAAAAATAATGTTGTACATCCTTTTTTACTTGATTAGAAGTTTTTTTAGTCAGTTTGTAACAAGTAAATTGAAATGCGTACTAAATAACTAGTACGTACTACAAACTTGAGAACTATATATCTTTTTAATAGATAACCGATTTTTGTAGTCATTCTTAAGCAAAATCAGAGTAACCACATTCTTTAGTAGTGGAAGGTCATCTTGCGCCCTCTTCATCTTTAGAGCGGACCTTCATGGTTTTATTACGTGGGTTTGCCAAACGTGACAACTGGCCGAAACAATGTACCTTCAACAGACTGCGCTAAAAAAGAGTAGCTTCAACAGACAAAAGAATTGTTAAAAGTAAGTGAAATCTTGATAATAAGATAACCTTCTACCCGGATTCCGTGAAAAAGGTTATGAAAAACTTGGAAATTTGTACTCTCCTCTTAATCTATAGAGCAACGGGAGAACTCCTGCCAGTTCCAGTCAAAGAACATGGTATTATTTAGTTCTAACCTGTATATATATAACCCACTCATGTAACGGACAGGCCCGGTCGTGATATACTGGGGGCCTTGGGGCAGGAAAACAGTATGCCCCCTTATGTTATTTCAATGATATAGTTGTGTATTATTTTTTATTGCAAAGTAAAATAGTACTACATCATAAATACAGAATGTCGACGGACGTGGTATTTCTGAGCTCGAGCTCAAATTAGATGGGGTGAACAGTAAAAATCCAAAAAAGTATTTAAAAATTTCTGAATATTTTTTTGGGGCAAACATTGACAGATGTTTTGAGTGCTCACAAAATTTCATCAAGAAATGATATTCGTGGAAGTTGTGGCAAAAGAAAGTCGATACTCCAAAAGTGTCACTTTCAAAAGCATTTTGGAGTGGTGATTTTGTATTTTTTCCACGACTTCCATGGATGTCATGAATTTCATGACGAAATTTTCCAAGCACTCAAAATATTTATCAAAGTTTGTCACGAAAAATGTTAGAATTTTTTTAATTTGTTTTATTTTTCTTTGGGATTTTACTGTTGATCGCAAGCTCAAATGAGCTCGCGCGCAGAAGAGGACTTTCGGGTTTGTATACCATGTACTGGTATACATCAAGAAATAAAAGTACCTTAAAAACTAACCATAGTGGAGCCAGCAGGTGGCTACATAAAATTGCCATGTCATCAAGAGCCTTATTAATAATTCGTACAATAGAGTTGGCAATAAGGTCGACTATTAGGTTAGTCATTTTTGGCTCATGCATGAGAGCCAACTCCTCCCCTTTTTCTTTTCCTCTCTTCCCCTCATAAGCAAATGTGCCATGTAAGTGTCGGTGTCAAAACCGGCGGATCTCGGGTAGGGGGTCCCGATCTGTGCGTCTAAGGCTAATGGTAACAGGAGGCAGGGGACACGATGTTTTACCCAGGTTCGGGCCATCTCGATGGAGGTAAAACCCTACTTCCTCTTTGATTGATCTTGATGATATGAGTATTACAAGAGTTGATCTACCACGAGATCGTAGAGGCTAAACCCTAGGAGCTAGCCTATGATGATTATGATTGTCCTCCCCCTACGGACTAAACCCTCCGGTTTATATAGACACCGGAGGAGGCTAGGGTTATACAGAGTCGGTTAAAAAGAAGGACATCTAACATCCGGATCGCCAAGCTTGTCTTCCACGCCAAGGAGAGTCCCATCCGGACACGGGACGAAGTCTTGAGTCTTGTATCTTCACGGTCCAATAGTCGGGCCAAAGTACATAGTCCGGCCGTCCGAACACCCCCTAATCCAGGACTCCCTCAGTAGCCCCTGAACCGGGCTTCAATGACGATGAGTCCGGCGCGTAGATTGTCTTCGGCATTGCAAGGCGGGTTCCATCTTCGAATAATCCAAAGTAAGTCTCGAACACTTAAATCGTGTCCGGCTCTGCAAGACGATTTTCACATGCCATCGTAGAGAACGATATTCCACGAATATAATCTGTTGAAATCTTTAAATAACGTGACATCACACCATGGTCGAGCCATCATCGAACCGTCCTCCCCCAGCCAGCCACCGCACATATTGCGAGGCGGTTTCCCGGGCATGTCTTGTTGAAGCAGAGATCGTGTTCCCCTTACCACGGGGCTTTTATCAATATGGGCGCGGGTAGCCCAATCGTACCGCCAATCGCGGCGAGTGGGGAACGAGCAGGTTCCACCAGGCAAGTAGGGAGGCGCAAAAGTTTTTATTGGCTCTATAAAGAGATAAGGCCTCTTCTTCTTTACCCACGCCTCTCCCTTCCGCTCGTCCATTCCCCTTCGCTCGAGCCCTAGTGCCCAAGCACTCGTCTCCTCCACCGAAAAGAGGTTCTTCGAAGATGTCCGGATCCGGAGCAGGAGGCAAATGGATGGCCTCTACCGTCCAGGAGAAGGATATCAAAAAGTTTCGAGAGGCCGGGTACCTGGCCAAGAAAATCGGCCACCGTCTTCCGACGGCGGGACAGATCGTCCCCAATCCGGAGCCCCACGAGAGGGTCGTGTTTCTTTCTCATTTTGTCCGCGGGCTCGGGTTTCCCCTTCACCCATTTGTTCGTGGCATAATGTATTATTACGGGATTGATTTTCATGATCTGTCCCCTAATTCTTTCCTTAACATCTCGACGTTTATCGTCGTGTGTGAGGCCTTTCTCCGTATTTCGCCCCACTTCGGCTTATGGCTGAAGATCTTCAATGTGAAGCCCAAGGTGGTGAACGGCGAGCACGCTGAGTGCGGCGGCGCCATGGTGAGCAAGATGCCCAAGGTCACATGGCCGACGGGCACCTTCAATGATTCCGTCAAAAGGAGTGGCAGCAGCAGTGGTTCTATATCACCGAGCCGCGCGGTAAAAAGTGGGCTGCTGCTCCTGAATTCAGATTCGGAGCCCCCCTGCGGCTCACGTCCTGGCCCAAGAAGGGTCTGAACTGGTCCTCATCCAACGAGCTGTCGGTGCTCCAAACACGCGTCAAGGGCGTGGTAGACAAGGATGTCAAACTCGTCAATGTAGTCCAGGTGATGTTAGTTCGCCTGGTTCTCCCTTGCCAGCACCAGGCCTGTAATTTGTGGGAATACGCACCGGGCCTGTAATTTGTGGGAATACGACCCGGCCGAGCACCAGACCCTGCGGGAGCTCTACGGCTCCTCACACAAGGATATCTGGAAGGTGCTCTTCAAGTCCGGCAAACCGTGGCCGGGCTCCGCCGAGGACCGCGGGTATCAACTGTCCCGCTCTGCAAGTCCAGTAAGTTATCGCTATGTTCTGTCTATCCATGTTTAGCTGGCATATCCCGAGGGAGACGCTTTATCACGCTTTCCGCAATTATCCCAGGAATGGACAAAGAAGGTGGGGCGGATACACTGTCCGGCCCCGCTGCCGGAGGAACCGGCAGGACCTCTTCTGACGAAGATGCTGGTCCCAGCGCCTTACGAGGCGCCGAAGAAAGAGGCCTCCAAGAAGGCCAAGGAGACCCGGAGCGGCCTCCGTCGCCGCGGTGCTTCGGACACCAAATCCGAAGACTCCATCGCCCATCCTTCCTCCGAAGACGAAGAGGAGGAGGAAGAAGACGAGTCCTCCAAGGGGGGAGGGAAGAAAAGGACGGCCTCCTCATCCTTGGAGGCCGAATCGTCGAAGAGGGAAAAAAATCCCGTTCCAGAGGCGTCCACCACGGCTACCAATAGTAGCCCGGAGTGGGATCCCAGGGCCCAGCCCCTGGTAAAATCGTGAGTACACGAAATCCGAATACGCCTAAGCGCCCCGGATTACTAAGGTGCAATATTTTAACTTGCGCCATACTTTGTGCAGCCCGGCGAGGTCTCGCGCCGAACAGTCCTCCTCGGAGGATTCGCTGAGCTCAGATGCCCTGGAGAGCGAGACGCCTCCGAAGGCCCCTTCCCCGAAGTTTGGGCGTGACACCGAGGTGTCGTCTCAGCAGGACCCAGACCAGGGAGGGCACGCCTCTGGGGCCGGATACACGGGGGCAACGGTTCCCATGAACGTCGATGGCGGGGGCGATTTTAGATTCAGCCCGCAACCGGACATGGTCCTGGAGACCTTTGAAGCTCCAGGATCAGGCGGGTAGCCCCCCTTGACGGAGGGAGGCAAGCCCGCTCTGCCAGCAACCTCTGTCCAAGCAGAGCTGCAGGGCGGCCTATTGACAGCGCTAAAGAATGCCTCCATCGTCAATGAACATCGCGCCCTCATGGGTGCGGTGATTGAAAAGATTCAGTCCGCTGAGAGCGGACTGAATGAATCCTGCCTTAGCCTTATAATAGGCTTTGAGGTATGCTTTTACAAACCTTTGAAGATTGTCATAGTATGAACGGTAGCCCCTGATGCACTGTCCGGTGAAAGAGAGAGAACCGGACAGGGGATCAAATTTCCGCTTCGCAGGAGACTCGGTTGATGACATATATCTCTTTGTTTGAAAACAAGCGTCTGTAGCGATGACCGCCTCTCATACTGCTGAGGTGTCCGGACTAAAGCAGAGTTTGGAACGGGCCGAAGGAGAACTTGGCCGAGTGAAGAAGCAGTTGGAGGACAAGCAAGGTATGTCGAAACCTTTTGATAAGTTAATTACAAATGAGTAGTTGTGCCTGATGAAAATATTTGTATTGTGTGCTCTAGGAGCAAATGCCGAAATTGAGGCACTGAAGAAGGCTTTGGCCGAAGCCGACAAGAAGGCCGCCGTGGAGCAGGCTCTTCGCGAGAAGCACGAGGCCAGGGTCATTGAAGCTGAACGAGAGCTCCAGGAGCCCGTGAAGAAAAGCGAGACCTTGGAGAAGAGTCTAGCAAGGAAATAATTCAAACTCGCCCAAGCTCTCCAAGCCGCAAATGATGCTTGGGAGG